ATTATTATTATTTTAAATTTTCTTTTATTTCCATAATTAAATGTTTCTTCTCTCCCCCTACGAGTCTCCTTCCCCTCGCCCCCCAATTCTCTCCCCTATCCCCTGGGTGGGGGCAGTGAGCGAGTGGCTTGGGCTTCTCTCACCCTACGAGTCTCCTTCCCCTTGCCCCCCAGTTCTCTCCCCTGTCCCCTGGGTTGGAGTGAGACAGTGGCTGGGTTTGGCTGCCAGCCCAGTGCCACCACCACAACTGGTTCTTGCACAGCTCCTGCTTGACCACAGCAGCACAGCTCAGGACAAGTTTTTCCAGCCAGCTGTGGAAAAAGCAGCTGTAAAAACACCCCAGACCCCTGCCCAGCAGCTGCACACACATCCCCAGAGGTTCCAAGCGGGAAGTTTTGACATGAAAGCTGACTGAAGGCCAAATCTGGGATGTCAGGCATGGTTGCTTGCTCCTGGCACCTCAGTGCTGAGCTCACACCCACAGGATGCAGTTGATCTCCCCTTCCACCAGCACAGAAAGCAGAGCAGGCTCCGTGATGGGAAGGCACAGCCACATTTCAGTTCTGTGAGGTATCACCGAGGCCAAGGATGATGGGACAGTGTCCTCTTCACCTCAGGAGGGAGGTTGTGCCAACTCAGAGAGTAAATACTCCAGCCACCCAGCCAGCATCTGCCTTTGTTCCCATTCCCCGCCTTGTTCAGTTTCACTTAATAACCACCAAGACAAAAACAAAGCTATCAGGGATCCCCAAACTAGAGGCAGAGCTCTCAGCTGGGAAGGATCAGCCCATTTACCATGTCAGGAAACATCAAAATACTCCATCTACTCAGTTATCTGACACAGAGCAGCGCAGCTGCAGCTCTGCAAACAGCCTGGACACCACACAGACACTCTTAATTCCCTTAGAAGGATCCAGAAGATCCATCTCCCAGCCTCCTGCACACTCAACAAGTGTTTTCTTTGCCCAACTCTCTTCAGTTCTATCACACCAGAACCTTTACGTGGCTGGAAAGCTCAGAAGATGCCAGGTGAAGTGGAAAGGCTGTGTGGCTCCAACCATATTAATTCATTTCCCCACAGGAAGGAAGGTTCAGGCTGCCCAGCACATCCCCCCGCCACGGGCTCCAGCAGACATCTGCCCTGTCCAAAGGCTGCCACTGCTTCACGACACCACTCCCCTCCCTTGCCTTGGGATCAGGTGGAGCTTTCCCCACCACATCCCCTCCCCTGAAGCATCACACCTCCTCACAAATAAGGCAGGCTTAGGCACAAAGTTTAAGGCACACCTCTGCACCCCAGACATGCTGTAACATCCCAACTCTCTGCTTTAACAAGAGCAGTGTTTACCCGTACCTATCCCAAGCAAGTCCAGCATTACTGGGAGCTCCACTGCCCTGGCCATTCACCCACCAGTCCTTTTAAACAGACCATTGCACTGCTCTGATTGCAACCCTAAAGGCTCAAGGACATCACACAAGTACCAGCACTCTTGAGACCACTTGGGTTTGGGGGGCAAAGCTGAGGAGAGCAGGGGAGGCTCATTTAAGCTCATCCCCACTGTGAAGGGGTGGAAGCCCTGCAGCCACTAGGACCTTTACAAAAGGCAAATACGCACACGTCAGTCGGGTAGGGAGACTGTTTATTAAGTAGGGCTTTGTCAAGATGCTGCAAATGCATGAGGGAGGCCCAAGGAAGCCCCAAGAGCTTCTGGCGACAGCCTCATCCTCCCGGTGCTCAGTCGAGCTATAAGAGAACGAGAAAAGCGAGAGAAGTGAGCAAGAAACGGAACAAGAAGTGAGCAGGAACCGGAACCCCCGCCCCTCCCGCGCAGCCCCGGTAGCGGCGCTTACCTTGATGAAGCCGATGTCCTTGGCGTACTGGCGGAAGCACTGCCGGCACATATTCAGCCCGTATTTGCGAATGAGGCCGTGGCGGTTGGAGCACACGCGGCTGTGAGGGGAGAAGAGAGCAAGGCCGGGTCAGGGCGGGTAATGGCG